TTGGCACTCAGCAAGGAGCGTCGCCTGCCGCTGATCAAGCGCGAGTCGGCTAAGCAATATAAGGCTCTGAGCACCACTGAGGCTAGCTCGGCTAGGGAGACGGTCATCAAGATTGGCTATGCGCTGCGAGAGAATCAGGCGCATCGTGAGCAGGAGCATATGAGTAGAGACTCTGATCAAACGGTGCAATCCGTGGAGCTGTTGGGCAGCTTTAAGGGCTTTGATGATGTGGAGAATACGAATCTATCGCCAAAGGCCAAACTGCATGCCGAAACAGAAGGGCCAGAGGAAAAGGTTATTAAAAATGTTGAGGAAATGCCCATAAGTGCGGAGGCAAAGCAGCTGGAAATACAGCGTTGGCTAGACCACAGCATGGAGGAGCATTCGGCTGCAATTGAGTCAACCGAAGCCACTGCAGCCACTGTCATCAGCTTGAGCTCATCCTCCTCTTCGTCATCGTCGTCCTCCTCCTCTTCTTCCTCGTCAACATCATCCTCCGCCAGTTCAACTAGCTCTTCATCTAGCTCTTCGTCGAGCAGTTCCAGCGGAGAGAGCGAGAAAAACGGCTCGAATTCGAGCAACAACAGTTGCTCTGGCGAGGAGAGTGACTTCAATGAGTTGGCCGCACTAGAGAAGGAGCTCTCGCTAAACGCCTTGCCAAAGCCAGCGACGGATCTGCAGAAAAGCGAGAGCCTGATGCAGGCGTCCAACAATGACATAGCAAAGCTCAAGCAGATCCTCGAGAGCGATGGCGACGATGAGGAGCAGCACCCACAGCAGCAGCAGCAGCTGACCAACAACGTACCAAAGCTAAGTGACCTTAGTAAAATTGCCTTAAATAGTTCCTTAAAATCTAGTGACATAGTCAAAGATGCCGTCGAGGCAGCCACAGAGGCGCCTCAGCAACAGCAACAGCTACAGCAACAGCAACAGGCACAGCCACAGGCACAGCAGCACCGTGAGCTCAGCGTCGAAGAGGCGCTGGCCGAGATGTATCAGCAGATAGGCGTGGCCTCCGATGCCGAGGATAATGAAACGGAAGCGGATGCCAAGCAGCTGATCGACGCCGCTGCCGGCTCTGGCCAGGATGTGCTGTTGATCAATTTGGCCGAGATTTTCGACAATAGCAGCAGCGATCTCTACGTGGTGCAGTGCGACATGAATGAGAACATCCTGGGCATGGTCGAGTCGGACGATCTCGAGCAACAGCAACCGACGGCAGTAGCAGGAGCAGCAGCAGCTGCTGCCGAGCACAGCCATACGCAACAGCTGATCGAACTGCTAGCCGAACCGGAATCGGATCACTTTGACGCCACGCCCCTCATCCATCATGAGGAGGTGGTGCCGGACAGCTGCAGCAAGCTGAGCGCACGACGAGAGTTCCTCAAGTATCTGCACGGCAAATATGTGCAGAACAACGTGAGTCGCTACGATCATGGTCAGCGTGTGCTGCGGAAGTACAAGCGGCGACTCCTGCTCCAGCAGAAGCAGCAGCAGCAGCAGCAGCAGCGGCAGTCAACACATGCCACGCCCACAGCGCGTAAGCATTAACCAAAGATGGCTGCAACAAAAGAGTATGAAGGCTTTCCATTTCCAGCTCAGTTGCTGGCGGGGGGATTACCACCCCCTGCTGTTGCTCTAGCGTGAAAAATCAACTTGACGTGCCTAATGGATTAGAAATTTAAATTCAAATTATTCACACACACACACACACACATAGAGACAGATTTACACCCACACAAACACACGTCTACTACACACACACATTTGGTGAATCTCAAAAGACTTGTTTATATAAAATCAATTTTTTTGGCATTTCTTTAGTACATACCGTAGTAGATATACTAAATCTAATCAATCTATATAGTTCATCTTGTTCTTCTTATTTTTATTTTTTTTTTTTTTGTATATAGTTAAAGCATAGCAAAGGCTTCGTTTTTAATGCAAATATGGACATTTGCAGGTTTAAGACCTTTTTCAGTGTGACATAAAATTAGAAAAAGAATTTAAATTGAGTTATATATTGTTATATATAGAGCGACTCGAGTACCTCACAAAAAAAGTAGTTTGTATTCTGAAATAAGTGCAAATTACCAAAACATTTAAAGTTTTTTAAAGTTAAAGAAAGTTGTTTCTGAATTCTTTAAAAGTTTAATTTTTATATACGTATAAACTTGTTATCTCTTTCATTATATGTTGGTTTTATCCATTCATTTTATTCTTAAAAATAACATTTTAGATTATATTTTACTTTTATTCAAGTGTTTTGACATAGTTTTTGAGCATTAGAAAATATTTCTAAGCTTTCTAAGAAACCTTAATTGCAGTCTGTCCTAATGGATGCTCACAGAGTGAATGTAGAGACAAGACGTTGTTATAAACACAGAATAATAATAATATTGAAATAATGTATAATTAGTATATTTTATTCATAAAAAAAGTATACCAACTTTTCCGAGCATCTCAAATTTCAATCCAATTTTTATTGAAACTTTTTAAATATTTTGAATTTTTTAAATATTTTTGTAAACTTTTTCTTCAATTTAAAGTCATGCCAAATCTGAAAAAACCTGAAAATGTCCATATAAATTTAAATACATATTCATATTTAAAAGCAGTTTTATATCTACAATACATACAATATATACACATAGATTCATCTTTTTTATAGCGAAACGTGCAATATTTTTGTTAAATGTGCAATTAATGTGTTTTTAAGCTAATTTCTAAACAACAAACATATTTAAAAATTCGAATCTCTTGCTAAGTGGGGCCAGGCTGCGGCGAGGGGGCGTGTCTGGGTGCGTACACCTGGCGTATACGCGATTAGCCACATGCATCTGTGTATGCGTGTTGTTTCAGCTCGCGTGCAATTAACTTTACAGAAAAATAAAACAAAAATCGAGCACATATGTCATTTCAGCCATACATATATATTAATACTTATCTATATATACTTTTAAATTAGTATGCTGCACTGCGAGTGCGAGTGCAATAGAGATAGCTAAACAACATTTATATTTTAGTTAACTTTTTTTTTTTTTTTTTAATTTTTTTGTTTTTATTTTTATCAGTTAAGTGTATCAGCATTTTAGTCCGTGCGGGAATTTTTAAAGCCGTCGCTCATCAGAGGTCAAACAGCAGATAGCGAAAGATATATAGCTACAGATATGGATATATACATATACATGTATATGTGTATATAATATTAACAGCTCTGTGGCATGTCTCTTGCGTGTTAATTCAAACTGTTAACTCGGCTGTGTGTATAATTATGGCCCAAGTAAGGCCCTTTTATGTCAAGTTGATGGCCATGTGGTTTTAGAATACAAAAAATACAGCTAAATGGAAATAACACTCCCCCACACTGTAACCCCCAAAGCACCCTGTTGCTCATGCTCTTCGTATACACTGCTTTCATTGTCTGACTTCTGTTACATTCATCTTTATCTGTCACCTTTCACTTTCTACGTAACTCTTCACAGAGTAATAAATCGTTTTACATTTTACTTGCACTCTAGATTATATAGCAGTCGCTACTTGCCGTCTGTCAAACTATTTTATTTTGTTTAAATAGTTTCGTTGATTTTAAGTTAAGATTTTGCCAACTGCCTTTGTTTAATGAAGGCCACCAAAAATGCAGCCTAGACCAAAAAAATGCGACTAAAAACGGAATGAGAATAAGAGAAATATATATAAGATATACATATAAATATATACATTCATTTATAGAAATACTGTTAGTTTAAGATTGTTAGAGAAAAGCTGTTGTTTCAGTTAGTGCAAGACTTGTTTTTGTTTTCTAGTACAATTTACGTTAGGATTGGGAAATTGTTAAACATAGCGAAAATTAGTAAATATAAATATTTTTTGTAGCTATATAGACGTTTTCATATACAAATATATTTGTATAGTATGTCTGGAAGACTATTGCTGTAGCACTCTGAAATGGCCTTGTTTTTACACAACCTTGATGGAATATAGTATAGCATATGGTATAGTAGAGCCGGAACCGTTATAAAATAAAATCCGCTATAGAGATTCGCTATGCAGTTGAAATCGGATTTGCTATGGCTTATATAAGACCTGGAATAGAAAACGTTGCACTTTTTAGCCTTAATTAAAAAATAATAATAATAATAATAAGAAAACTAACAGATCTAATCATGTGAGACCAACCACCTATAGCTAAACTGAAACTACGTGCAACATCATTTCTTCTAGTAAAACAGATTCCAAAGGACCAAAAACAAAAAAACAATTGATAATTGTTATTTTTAATTGTAAATTACATACGAGTAAACTAAAAGAAAAAACTTTCGGGCACACATTGTTGTTGTTGTTTCGTTGTTTGTTTCTTTTTGCAATTCATCATGTTTTTGTGCAATATCAAATCATATTAGTTAAATATAATACGCTTAATTTTAGTACAAAAAGCAAAAATAAAGAAATGCCCACTTAATGTAATATTTATTATATATTCGATTTATAACTTAATATTGTATATCGTCTAGATGTCCTACACACACACACACACCTTCTCTATATATGTATACATTTTAAAGTATAATTAAATATTTATAGCCCGTGTAAAAGGGGAAAGTTTTTTTTAGTCCCTAAGCATTATACGATATGTCCAGATTGTGACTATATACATATATATAATTATATATATAAATGTGAATGTGAGTGTCTTTTTGAGCATATATTCAAATGAAAATTCAATATTATATAGATGGAGGAATCAACACCAGCAACAACAACAACTAAAATTGTATTGATTGAAATAAATGTTTTATGTACATGTTATTGCAATATGAAAAAAAAAATGTCTTTTCTTACTTACTATATTTATGATATATTACAGTGCTGCTCAGTGCAGCTAGCACTACTAAGAAGAGCTCTGAAGAAGTTTCTCATAATTCCGAATTGGAGCATTCGATGATTACAGCCCATTTTAAAAATGAATTCACATATTTTATAATAGAGCAATATAAATTGCGATTTTATTCGTTTGTTTTTGTTTGTAGAATTCAAAAATACAGCACAGTTCACAAATCTAGAATTTGCAGGCTAAAGTAAAAAACCAACGGGGTTTAGGTTGCTTCATTGTCCTTCGCACCAAGGACTCGTTTAGTATTTGCATGCGTCTCGTTTGCGCATTTCCGCACTCTCTCTCTCTCTCGCTCTCTCTCGCTCTCTTTGGTCCTACTCGTACTTGTCGAAGTAGCGCTTCTTCAGATCCGGCGGATACGTAACATATATGTAGTGCTCATTCTGTCCACCCACCTCGCTCTGCACGATCTCGTGCGTGGAGGAGGAGGCGCGTAGCGATTGCTGCGAGGCGCCAACATGACGATGCCGCGTGTCCAGTGGCCGCGGATGTGTGTTGTAGTGAACACCACCACCGATGCCAGCACCGGCCGCACCACCAGGGCCAGCGCCGCTCATATTGCTTACCACACTCGTGGCGATTGGCCGGCCGGAGTTACTTGTATAGTCGCGTCGGTCTAAAATGTCCTGTGGGTAGGCCAGGCTCGTCGAGTGCCGATGCAGCGGCGTATTGGCGTTGGACGAGGACCCCACCACTTGCCGGCCGCCGGCCGACGAACTGGTGGGCGTACCCTGACCCACCGCCGGCGCCGCTGGACGCTGATCGGCGATGTAGTGACGCGGACTGTGTCGATGGTATTGAACCTGTTCGGGATACAAATCGCGAGCCTGCTGCTGTTGTTGCAGTTGCTGTTGCTGCTGCTGTTGCTGGTAGTATAACTGTTGTTGCTGCTGTTGCTGCTGCTGCTGATGATGTTGTTGCTGTTGATGCTGTTGATAGGGATCGGCAGTCCGACCAGGTATCCCGCCTGCGTCCAGCTGCAGTTCCTGCTGTGTGGCATAATCGTGATGGTAGTGGTGCGGCGCCGGCATGTAGATGCTGCCGCCGGCTCCGACGCCTGCATAATGGTTGGCATTGATTGTCGTTTCTTCGGAGCTGAAACAAATGACTTGGGTTTGCTCAATCTCACATTGACGGACAGTAGCGGTTGCTGCTGCGGCCACACAGCCACACTTACTCAAACAGTATCCAAATGATGTAGTAGCAGAAACAGATGCCCGTCGACAGCACGAATATCAGTATGACAATGAGACCCCAGGGAAAGGCACGTGGTTCCAGTGGGCCATCCTCCCAGTACCGATCACAGGTGAGGTACCAGCAGACCGCCTTGTTCATCTCCTCCTCCATCTCCTTGAACGCCTGATCGGACATGGCCAGCAGCAGGCCGCCAATACAGCTGCGTAACAGCAGCTCGCAGCGTGCCTTCAGCTTGCTTAGCTCCTCAGGTTTGCAATTGGCCCGCACCTTGGCCTGTCCGTTAGCCCCGTCCACTGTTGTGCTGGGATCTGGCTGGCCGCTGCCCTCCGCATCGCCGCTGTGCTCAGCCTCGTCCGTTTCGTTTTGCTTGGACTCAGCTGAGGTCGATGCCTCAGTTTCGGTGCGTTTCAGATGTGTCTGACTGAGCTCCTTCAGCTTCATCAGCAGCTTCTCGCCGGCCGACATGGGCTTGGCCACTGAGCCATCGCCGGCATTGGTGGCATCGGCCGGGGACTGTTTCTTCGTGGGACTTGGCTTCTCTTGGAGTAATTGACGATTTTGTACTTTGGCTGCACGAGTGGCACTCAATGTGGAAGTTCTGCAAGGGATTGGTTAACAGGAGTCGGCTATTGTGTGGGAGAGAGAAAGAGAGAGAGAGAGAGGAGGCCTCTACTTGCCTTGGTATTAAGCTCAAGTACGCGGCATTCGCTTTGGCCAGGGCGGAGTTTTGACCCAGAGAGTCGCCCCAAACTTCGATATCGGTAACGATGTGCTGATCCCCAAACTTAAGGCTAGAAGCGTCCTCCGTTTGGAATACCTCACAACGCATTATATCGCAAAAGTCGGCCAAGCAAACGGAGTCCTCTGCCTGCGAAAATTATCTCATCAAAATGCTTTCTTTTTTTTTTTTGCAATTGCTCTTGGTCTTACCTCATTGATGATGTGCTTGTGCCGGGTATCGAAGTGCAAGTCAAGATACTTCTCCTGGTAGAAACTCTTGCCGCAACGCCGGCAGGTCCACTGCGTGGGCCGATCCCGTTGCTTTTCCTCCTGGCGTGGCGCAAACACATCTCTCAGCGGATGCAGCGGACACTCCAAGGGCAGTTTCACCTGTAGTACGCCAACATTCAATTATACCCTAGTCACTTTATCTGTTCCAATCGTGCACTTACCTGATGCTTGTCCAAAATGGGCGTCCACTTGGAGCGCACTATCTTGCGCACCAGGCGGCTGTTATCTCGCGAGCAGAGTATCTTGATAACGTTGGATGGTGGCCATGGTATTAGCAATAAAATGAAGATTAGAAATTGCCTGGATGTCATCAAGCGGAACGTGAGTGAATGCAATCTGTAATGGATACAGAGATATTAATATATACATATATAGTAATGCGGTGCAATCGGACCTACTGACCGACTGGCCAGTTAATTACGAATGCCGCCCACTAGTTAAGCCCGTCAAGTCCTGAGCACGCAACCCTTGGCTGCGTGCCTGCTTGATTATGTTTTTTTCTTTTTGGGTCACTTCAAGTAATAAAAAAAAAGGGCAGCGCGCACAGAAAATCGATAAAGGAATGCGGTCGAGCGGGTTGTTAAGGTGTGTGTGTGTGTGTGTGGGGAGGGATGAGGCGCAGGGGGAATGACAGTTTTTTGGCTCATCCTGACAGTTGCTAAACTAATTGGCAACGAAACGTAATTGAACTCACCTCGAATTGATGGATAATCAGACGACATTCATTATTTCTCGGCACCTTTTTGTTGCTGAAAAATGTTGCTCTTGAATTTTTAATGACAATTTTTGAGGTTAGGTGTGCTTGTAACGGTTTGACTGCGCGGTCGTTATGAATGAGCTTAGAGTGCGTTCAATGTGCAAAAGAATAAAATTAATAAAGAGAATAGCAATTTATTTGTTTCTTTTTTTCGTTTTGTTATAAATAAAAGCTGCAGACCCGTTACTGCACGTTCGCACTGCTGAAAGTTTCTGCGCTCTTTAACCCGCAAACGGCGAGCGCTCGCTCTTTCTTTCTCGCTCTCTATTGGCCTTTCACCTCATTGTCCTGCGCCGCATCTTACAGCTGTTTCGCAGAGTTGCCAGATAGTTGCTATGGCGAAGCCTGCAAAATAATATATATTTGCCGCATACTTTCAGGCAGTACAAATAAAAATCAAGATTTTTGGCATTTTCAATTAATTAAATTTATATTTTCCTGTTCATGTTGTTTGCTGCTACAGTCGCACTTGTGGCATGTGGAACGATCCCGAATTGATTTATATTTTTACAATTACTAGACTACATTAAGGTTTTCTTGCGCACAACTTCCCCTGGCAACAAAAGTCTTCACATCTACAATAAATACTACTTAATGTACAGCCCCGATGCATGTCCAAAGATTCACAGCCCATTATAGACGCGATTAATGGATGACTGTTGGAGTATTTTCTTCAGAGCTGAAAAAAAAAAAAAAAACAAAATTTTATATTTATATATTTAAAAATGCCTTAAAAGTTTTATAACCCACCTTCCTTGTCCTCCTCCGTCAAGTCCTGCTTGGGGAACTCCACATCGAACGTTATGTAAAGATTGCCCGTCAGATTGTTGTTCTCAAAGTTGGGCATGCCCTCGCCCTTCTTGCGTATGCGTGCGCCCGGCCAGGTGATCTTCTCACGCGTCACGCTCACACTGTGCCCATCCAAATGCTTAATCTCCATTGTAAAACCAATGAGTGCATCCTGCAGACTGATGGTCACATTTGTATACAAGTCATCGCCCTTACGTTGGAATCGTGGATGCGGCATCTGCTGAACGCGCACAATCAAATCTCCAGGCTCGCCATCAATGTGCGGCTCGCCTTCGGCAACAAACCGTGTCTCCTGGCCATCGACCATACCCTGCTCCACCTCAATCTCCAGGGTGCGCTCTTCGTTGACCAGTTTCACGTTGGGACACTCATCGCAAACGGTTTGTTGTATCATCTGGAAGCGTCCAGGTCCCAGATTGCGCGTCACCATTTCCTGACGACAGTTGCATTTGCGCGTACCAGAAGCCGGTTTCATTACGGGCTTGTTGCGCACGATTTCCACAAAGTTGCCCGAGTAGAGCTCCTCCAGGGAGACATACATATTCATCACAATGTCTGCGCCACGGGGCGTATCGTGCTGGTGGGGATCACCGTTGCCAAAATGGAACCCGAAATCGCCAAAGAAACTTGAGAACGGATCACCTCCATGGTCCATCATGCCCTCCTTCTTAAGGCACTCCTCGCCGCAGCGATCGTATGTTTTGCGTTTATCCGGATTCGAGAGGACCTCATATGCAGCACCCAGATCCTGAAATTTGGTGGACGCATCCGGATCATCTTTATTTTTGTCCGGATGCAGCTCTTTGGCGAGTCGCCGATACGCCTTCTTTATTTCGTTCGTGTTGGCATTCCGTTTCACTTTCAGAATCCCATAGAAGTCTCGCCCCGCCAGCGCCTCGTCAAGTAGAAAGAGCGCTAGCTGCACAAGTAACAGGCCTTTTATTAGCTGCATTATGAGTGTGTCCTTTTGTTTGTTTGCTTTTTGACTACGTGGTTAGTATTCTCTTTGTGGATTATATTCACTTAAACATTATTTCCTTATCTTATGAATGATTTTCAGCTCGTCAAAACAACACGGCTGGCAAATTTATCAAAAAAAACTATCTAAGCTTGTGTGTGTGCATCGTGGTTGCCGTTGATTGGTCGAAACCGGCGTGGCGGTGCTGCCACCTAATAGCTTATACCAGCTGTTTGTATTTCTAGTATTTTTACTCTAGAGCGGTAACACTGAAAGCACTCGGACACCAATTATCGATATTTAAGCAAGTATTAAAATTTAAAAATATTGCTAAACAATAAATCACAATTACCTTTTAAAAAATTAGAAATATATACAATTTTGTCATTGCCTACTGGGTACACAATTCCGTCTTAACGGCTTTCAATTTAACAATTTCATTCATTCAAGTACATAGAAAAAATATGTGTTTGCGTCGCAATTTGGCAGCTGTAGAAATATTGAAAATACATATGTAAATATTCAATTGTAAACTCTATTGTTTCAGGTGTTTTCACGCAAAGCTGTTTTACATTAATCACAAAAGCGCGAATATATATATGAAAATACCCATCTCTAATGGCAGTGTTGGTTAGTGGCGCACTTTAGTAACAAATTTGTGAAACGCCAAGCGCAAGTGTTTATTGTTATTTAAAGAAAACAGACAAACAGTTAGGCTTGGTTAACTGTTGCTGTCAGTTGCTTTAACTCTCGAAAAGTTCAATGTTTATAAAACTTCTTTAAATACAATTGAGTTTGCTTTCGGTGGCTAAATTCAAGAAAATTGTAAAACCAAGCAAAGGTATAAGGCCTTGTGTTATGCTCAAGGTTAACAATTAGTGTCAACAACTAACCGAAGACGAAGCAAAGAAGGAGAGGAGAAGACAGAGAGAGAGAGAGAGAGACAGAGAGCGAGAGCCATTTGAATAGATCAACAATAAAAGTAGTGAGTAATAACTGCATTTTAATGAGCTGTTGTAATCTCAGTAACTAACTGTGCACTTTGCCAACTAAAAGTCTAAGTGAATCACCGGCTAAAGTAGAAGTTCTGAGTGTAACATGAGCTGCATTCTTATCAAAAATATTTTCTTTAGTTTTCCAAACATTGCATTATCAGCAATGCCCAAGCAGTATAGTAAATATAAAACAAAGAACTGTAAATGCTATTTATTACTTACATATACATATTTAGAGATTGAGTCACTTGATTCAATGAATGTCGATGAATTATGCTGCACATACAGTGAATGCTACAATAATGGACTTTTGTTTTTCTTTTGTTAACTTTATCAGCAACAATCTTAAGCTGGGGGTAACCAAGCCTTATCATTTATTAACTTTTGTTTTTATTATTATTATTAAAGCTTTTTTCTTAATCAAATATCAGAATTTCAAGAGTTCGTTCACAGTAGACTGCACTGGATAAGCTGTAAACTTATCTATGTATATAAAAGCGTGTTAGCTGTTAACTTATTTCTATATACAGCTGTTAGACTATCTATATCTGTATCTAAAAATATGTAGTTATTGCTCCGATGTCAAAACAAAATTCTAATCAACCACTTGTTTTATATAGACTATCTTATCGCAGCTATAAATAAGATAAGCCTAAGCAATGGGTAAACTAGACCTTAACAGCGGTCAATATTCATGTAAACATATTAAGAAACACGCCCTTTTCATCAGAAAGGAGATATCGTAGACCCTGTTCAACTAATGTATTTATTATTGATGCCTTATTGGCTATATAATTCTTCTACAAATCACGCATATACTTTTTAGTAAAGTTTTTATATAGAACCCGCATTTCACGCTTCCCTCATACAGACTAGCGCTAAGACCGAATCAAATTTGGAATTTCAGTCATATATTATATTATTGGACTGTATACCACAAAGCACTATCAATTGCATGCCTAAGTAGCTCATGCACTTCAGATAAGGATTAGTCGCTGATTAATCTATGAAATGGTTCATTCAAATAAGCAAACATCAAGTACTCGAGCCACAGTCGTTGGTCGCCTGTGAAAGCGTGCGTTTGTGGGCTCGAGTCGGCGGATCGACTGGTACTACGTAAGTGGTTAAAAGAACCATCTAATTTTAGCACGCAATCCCAGAAGCCCTACAAATATATTGGAAACTCTGGTGCATGAGCACTCGAGAGGTCTTGCACGCGGCTAATCTGTAGGACGGATATGCCCATTAGCAGATATGATATCTGCCATTTAATAATACTGCGTATCGAAAACTCTTGATAAGCCGACAAGTGTCGAATGTATTTAAGTTTAATATTAGACCCATGCCACTCAGCTGGGGGCACCTGGGCAATTGCGGCCATAAAAAGCGTATTAAAATCTTTATTTTCACGATTAGCTTCAGTGAACTAATGATTATACAATAGTTTCTGTATTTTATTTCCCTCTACTTGCAGATGCTCTAACTTTAACAGCAACTACAGTTTTTTATACTCCCCTTCTATCATCATGTGTTGTGAGTGCTGTGGCGAAACGCAGCGCAAAAGCTGGGTCTTTGGCATCGGCTCTGTTTTTGCCGTGCTGGGCATACTCCTGGTCGTGCTCTGGCCCAATTTGGCGGACAATCTGGTCGAGAGTGTAAGTTAAAGGAATCTCCTATTGTGATGACCATCTTAAGAACTCCTCCATTTTTAGGGCTTGAAACTGGAGCCAGGCACCGACACATACGACAGCTGGCTGGAGGCTCCCATACCTATATACCTGAAATTCTATATGTTTAACTGGACCAATCCCCAGGACATACGTAATCCGAACATCAAGCCGCACTTCAACGAAATGGGCCCATATGTCTTTCTCGAGAAGCATAAAAAAGAGAACTACACCTTTTTCGACAATGCAACTGTAGCGTATTATGAGCGTCGCACCTGGTTCTTTGATGAGAAGCAGTCCAACGGCACACTGAATGACATGATTACGGCGGCGCATGCCATAACCGCCACTGTAGCCGATGAGATGCGTCACTCGAAGAAGATTGTGAAAAAGATTGTTAACTTTATGATGAACCATGAGGGCGGCACTTTATACACCACAAAGCCCTTGCACGAATGGATATTCGATGGCTATCAGGATGATCTTACGGACTTCCTGAATCTATTCAACACCTCAAAGATTCACATACCGTATAAGCGATTCGGCTGGCTAGCGGATCGAAACGGCTCGCTGGAATACGATGGTCTATTTACCATACACACGGGCACCGATGACATCTCAAATATGGGTCGCCTGACCCACTGGAATGGGAGAGGCGAAACAGGGTTCTATAAGTTGCCTTGCGGCATTGTCAACGGTACCACGGGTGATCTATTTCCACCAAAGATGAACATCCGGGATGAGATTACCATATTTGCCACCGATGCGTGTCGCTTCATGAATCTGCGGCCACAGGGAACCCTGGAGATGTATGGCCTTACTGCAACACGTTGGGTGGGCACTGAGGAGACTCTAGACTCCGGCGAGAACTATCCCAATCAGGCCTGCTTCTGTGATCCACGCATGGAGGAGTGCCCTAAAACGGGTGTGGTCGAGTGCAAGGAATGTCGCGACAAAGCACCAATCTATTCATCATTCCCGCATTTCTATTTGGCTGACAAGTCGTATTTGAATGCTGTCAGCGGTCTAAAGCCGGATAAAGCAAAGCACGAGTTCGTTATGGCCGTAGAGCCAACCACGGGCGTGCCTGTCCAGGTGCATGGTCGCATCCAGATCAACATGATGCTGGAGCCCGATGATGATTACGAGTATGTTTTCCATTATCATATTGCAGTTTATGCTTTGTTCAAATCTGATTGTAATTGGCAAGAGCTTGAACAGAGCATAACACAGCTGGGATATACTCTATATATACCTTATATATTTATTTCCCTACTTTCTATTGCTCAGCATCTATCGTGGCATTCAGAAGGTATTGATGCCAATGTTTTGGTTCGATCAGTACGCCCAGCTCAGTCCCGAGCTGGCCTCCAGGGCTAAGGTGAGTGACCCAAATACAAAGACCTGCCAAAGCTTTGAATCATATTTTGTTTTCTTTTAGCTGGCCATTAACTTGTCGGACTATGGCGTCTACTTTGGCATTGCCTGCATTGTTTTTGGTGGCCTCTTTTTGGTCACTGGAATCGCATTGACGTTAACCAAGAGGTGGGTACGTCGGCCCGTTGACGATGAGGACATGTTGACCAATTGAAAGTAGTTATTTAACTAACCAAACTCTAGCCAAATTGTGCCAGGACACACATACACATAAAGAAACACACACAGACACTTGTTAACTTTACTAGTTCATCGTTTGCCTAAGTTTGTTAATAGTTGACGACGGCATCTAATGGACGCCGATGTATATATGTGCTATATGCAGCATTTGTGATATACACACCCTAATTTTAAGTGCAATCAATATACATAGATTTTGTAATGTATTACCTTTACTCACATTTTACCCATCCAAATGTTATGTAATTGCTTTAGCATTCCTGTTGTGTCTATTTGAAGCTACGATTTGTGAATTAAAAAAAAAAAAAAACAAAACAAAACAAATAAATCACATTTATGTACAGCTTACATTTACAATAAGAAACAAGATGTTTAAATCATGATTTTTATTATTCATATATATGTATTTATATATATATAGTACACATACACGTATAGATAGTTACTACTATTTTGGCACTGACTGCTGCATATATATATACATATACAGTTGCCAGGATATATTGCTAGATTCCATAAGAAAAACTTGATTGGAATCGCAGCGTTTTTCTATAGCTCTATACTATATGGCCGATTTTGATAACATATAGCTGCAAAAGGTGTGTGTGTGTGTGTGTGCGTGCATGTATGTGTGTGCGTGTGTGTTGTTCTTAACTGTGCCACCTAATCATTTAGCCATAGGCTTTTAGTCGAGAAAAACCTACGCAAATATTTGTGACAACAGCCAGCACACACACTATCGCACACGCATACACTAAAACATGTAACACACACACTCATACACACAGGGGTTAATATAAACATAATATGAATATGAATATGCATCAAAATCATCAACTTAAAATTCAAAATCATAATCAAAATAAAAATAATAATTAAAACAGAAGCGTCAACGCTCACTCGCTAAATTCAATATTCAAATATTAAAATAATAAAACAAACGGTGGGGCAAGGCCTAGGCAATTATTTGATAAATGGCATTACGAGGGCGCGCACTCGATTTAAGATAAATCAAAAACAAATTCTTTAGTTCAGCAAAACAGGCGAAATCAATGAGCGTGACAAAGACGGAGAGAGAAAGTTGATAATACCCTCAGGAGAGTAAAGTAGCTGCTCTCGAGAGCGTAAAATTCTTATCTTTGCTCTCACAAGAGAGAATGCTCTCTTTCGTCAGCCTCGGTCATTGTTTCGCCTGTGCTTCCATTCGGCAGTATGCATAAATGTGTATGTGTGTGTGTATAAGTATAAGTAAGTGGGTTGTGTGTGTGTTAGTGTATTGGGGGCGCTCTCTTTAAATGCGAGTTCTTGTCTCTACATACTAAAAATTTGCATAGTTTTTGTGCGTTTTTCTTCTCTTTGTTGACTATTTGTAATTGGTTATTTTCATTTGTTGTAAAGTAAGTTAAATTAATAAAAAATAATATCAATCACAGTTGTTTTGGGCGGAAGTAGTTAGTTCTTTCTTTCAGCGTTTTAGTTTTAAGTAATCGCATCTGGGCCTATATATTCAAGTGCTTATTAAGCGACCCTCAGATACTGAGAGTCGATTACTAACTAGCTAATCTAGTCTAAGTATTTTATAAAAAAAGTTTTTTTTTTATTTTTAATTTTTTTTTTTCCTTTTATAGTTTTAGTAAATTAAGTAGTTCGTATTTTATACTTGAGTATTGTTGCTTCCATTTCTCACGATTGTTGTTTCTTGTCTTTTAAGATTCCTGTTTTGTGTTTCTAGTTCTGTCATTCTATATTCAGTTTTCCCATACCTAAATTGACTAGACTGGGTTCTGTGTGTGCTATTTGAATGCGTATTTGAGGTTCGTTTTGTTTTGTTTTTGTTTTGTTTCTATTTGCTTTTGTTACGTTGTCCGTAACTGTTGTACTGGCTGTTGAAATGTCTATCGATTGTTGTCCTGTGGAAGCGGGCCTAGTTAAAACCTGGTGTTCGAGTCTACTTTCCAGCCGCCAACACACTGTGATCAACCAATTCAATTCGCGACCTATGCAAATTCTCAGCTGGACTGCGCTGACCCACCAACACCACCACCACAAATACCAACCAACCACATTCACATCCTTAACTAGAGAATTGAGTGGGCTGCTCTGCCTATTTGTGTGTTCTTATTGTTGTTTCGATGCTTAGGTCTGCGATCGCGTTTGCGTTTGCGTTTGGGTTTGTGACTGCGAGTTTTAGCTTTTGTGGTGCTTCATAACCACCGCTGGATCCATGACATAGTTGTTGGCTTCCGCCAGCTGGACGGGCAGCGGCGGCAGCTTGTCCTGCGGATGTCGATGACTGATCGTTGCGCTCTTGCGTCCCTTGGTCAGTGTGCCAGTTGTGGAAGTGGCCGTATTGCCATTCATGGCCGGTGTCGGAGCCAAGGACTTGCTGGCGCTATGATGTCCCACACCACAACCAGTCGAGGTGGTTGCAGTGGGCGCCGCAGTGGTTGCCACAGCGGTCGTGACGACATTAGTACACGCTGTGGCACTCGTCGATTGCTTGGCGTTCTTCGGATTGACTATGACCTTGGTCTGCTTGAGCAGCGAGCGATCGTTGCACAGCGCCGAGATGAGCGGCAGATCCAGATGTTTGCTCTTCTCGCGCAGCAGTGCAATATCCAGCGGATTAGCCGAATTGGCATTGGCCGACTGCGATTGGCTGCTAGCGGCAATGGAGGCTTGGAGCTGTGCCAATATGCTGTTGCTATTGCCACGATTCAAGCCCAGACTCAGATCGGGTCGTGGTCGCTCACCCGCCCACTGGGCGCCGCTGGATGTCTTGATCAGCGGACTGTTGGATTGATGCGGATTGAGCGTGAGCGGCTTGCGTGGCGGCAACACGCTCATGCTGGTATTGGGATTTGGCTTTGAGGGAACTGCAAAGACCAAAGAAATGGAATTGGTTAAAGATTGATTGCCAATCAAATTACTAAATTTATAAAAAGAAACTTACTTGGCGGCGGCTGTTCGCTGGGCGCCGGCATCGGCGGTTTCTTGTGCCGATTGACGTACGGCGGCGGCGGCGGTGGCGGCAAACGCTTCACCTTGGGCCTCGGCATCGAGTCGAGCGAATTCAGAATATTATCATCTGATCGTGATCGTGCAAAGAAGCTGGAGGCGTTTGCCGCTGCGGCCGCAGCAAGCGCGGTCGGAAGCAACGGTGGTGGTGGCGGTGGCTCATACGAGCTGCACATGCTGGCCATCGATGGGGAGTAGAGCGGCGAGTAGCCGGCACCGGGCAGCTGCACGTACGTGTCCGACAGATTCTGTGTGGAGGCGTAGCGCGAGTGCGTGGACAGTGCCAGCGGCAAATACGGCGTACTGCGATAAATGGCATGGCCCTTGCAGGTGTCCCAGCCGGCGGAGTAGGCCAGGTAGGGTGGATGATGCGGCGGTGCCGGCGCCTGCGCCATGGCGGCCAGCAGGGAGCTCTGCTTGGCATCCAGATACTCCTGCTGGCTAACGGCCGGATCCTGTATGGGATAGATGACGTAGTCGACATCGCTGTACATTTGTTGCTGGTACAGCTCCAGCTGGTTACGCGCCGCCAGCTGGCTGCTGTAGAGCCCGGCCAGATGATGGGGATGCGTGGGCGGCGGCGGCGGTGGCGGCTGGCGYGGCAAACTGGGCGGCGGTGGCGGCAGAAACTGGCGCGGCTTTATCACTGGCAACAGCACGCACGCCTGCTGCGGCGGCGCCTGCTGGTGGTGCAGCGAGGCGGTGCTCTTGTGGTGCAGCCCGTAAGGAACTATGGGTATGCCAATCGCAGCCGAGCCGGAATGACGATGATGCGAGAGCTGCTGCTGCTGCTGCTGCTGTTGGTGGTGGTGTTGATGGTGCGAGTGGAGCTGATGGTGAGAGTGGTGCTGATGATGCAGCGATGCCTGCGAGCCGCCAGCATAATTGGAATTGTGCAGCGATTGCTGCGACAGCTGATGGCTGCACACAGATCCACTCGACGAGGCAGCCGATGAATAGTGCGTGGGTGCAGCATAGCTGGGCTTGGCACCGTCGGGGAGCAGGCTGGTGTGCGCCTTGAGGATGCTTATCTGTGGCCGGGTGGTGATAAAGCGTGCCGTAATCTCCTCTGATTTCAGTGAGCTCATTGATTCGGCGGCACTGGGCGCCGGCGCTGCCGAGGAGGCCATCGAGATGAGCGAGGTGGGTCGAGGTTTCATTGATGTGGGATAGGGAGGCGGATCACGTCGACGCAGCGGCGCWGCCGGTGGTGGTGGTGGCGGTGGCGTGGCAGGAACTGCTGCTGCTGCAGCTTTTGCTACCACCGCTGCCACTGATGTTGGTGGTGGTGGTGCAGGCGCAGCTGTTGGCTCTGGGTTGACCATCGGCATGCTCACTGGCTTGGGCATGGGCGGTACAGGCGGCGGTGGCCCCACCGGCGGTCCACACAGTCCGGTCTTCTCATGCCTGGCACTATATGGCGGTGGTGCAGGTGGCTGCACCTGTGCATCATTGGACTCCCCACCCGCCAGCGGCAGCGTCACATAATCGCAGTCCGAGTGTAGGCTGCTGGACACAGTCTTGCGGCTGGGGTAGGTGCCACGGCCCACAATCAGATTGGTTAGCTCCTCGGCCGACAGCAGCGTATGCTTGTTGTCCGTGGGATCGCTGCCATCGCCGCGAAACGAGCTGCTGGTGCTGATGTTGGAGTCGGAGCGTAAACGGAACTCGTTGCACTTTTTGGCCGAGACACCACCGACGCCAATGCCGGCCCCAGCACCGCCGTCCACCGAGTCGCTGGCCGCATGGCTGCTCTCGCCCTTAGCTGGCTGGAAGATGCCATAGTGTGAGCTCTTCTCGGACTCGGCCAGCTCAGAGAATTGGCCGGTCAGCTCGCTGCTGTGCATGGTGTAAACTCCAGACGTCTCTGTGGGTGGTGCCATGCCGTGGGCCAGTGTGTACACACCGGATACGCCCGAGACGCTCTCGCTGTCATCGCGCACGGATGCCGCCAGGAAATCGTCGGGATTCGACTCACTCAAGGCGGAGTTCTGCGCCGTGTGACTGAAGCCCAACTCCAGGCTGGAGGATGTGGAATGCACTGGTGGTGCCGGTGGTGTTGTTACCACCACAGTACTGCACGTCGATGAGCACTGCGAGCCAATGTTATGCTGCGAATTGGGCGAATCTGTGGTCGTGGTCGAGGAATCGTTGGCGGTGCTGATGCTGATGCTGTTGCTCGTCGTGGTTGTCCGTTGGCTGCCAGCATTGTTGCTGGCGAGGACCTCTGTGGGTCGCACGCTTACGCTTACGCTCAGCGCAGCCAGCTGCTCCTCCAAGTCCTTGAGCGACATCTGACCCACCGACGACGTCTGCCGGCTCACACTGGGTCTGTCCAGCAGATGCGCCAGTGCCAGACTCTCTGTGGATGGTGCAGCGATCGGGGCTGGCGGCGTATTTATCATAATCTCCAGCTCATCCTCGGAGTGCACACGATCGCTGACAATGCCCGAGGTGGTGTTCGAGCTGGTGCTCGAGATGACCGAGATGCGTTGCTCGTTCTTGCTCTTGTAGGGCAACATCAGACTGCGCGAGCAGGCGTAGCTGGCGTGCAGGCATTGCGACTCCGCTTCCTCCTCCTCGCGCTTGCCCACCTCCTTCAGGCGCGCGGCCAACTTCATGCTCCACTGATGCGTATCCTTGCAGAGAGTCAGCAACAGCTTGTTCTTCTCATCCGACGCTGCGTAGAGCGTAATGCGACTCTCCCCGGACCGAATCTCGAACTTCTTGCGTTCGAACGACAATTTCGTTATGTGCGGCCACAGAAAGGTTGCCGGCTCCGCTCCCGCACCACTGCCCAGAATCTTGATGCCCTTGGCATAGATGACGAACCAGGCACTGCCCACGCCCGCCTCGCTCTTCGCCAGCCGCATGCGGAACGTGTGCGCATTGATTGTCTCGTGCAGACTGCACGCCTGCTGTATGTACATCAGTTCCGCCTCAGCTTGGCCCAGACCCTTGTGCTCCCGATGGCAGGCGCGCAGCTCGCTCTTCGCCCAGTCCGTGTGCAGTGTGGCCGGCAAATAGTCCTCCATGCGAAAGTAATCCGTCGAGCTGCTGCAGGGCACTGGGCAAGCCGGTGCCGCTTCTCGCTTGGCAGCCGCCTGACTGGTGGAGGTCACGTAGGTGGACAGACGCAGCATGCGCTCATTGTAGCTGCTCAAGCGCTTACGTATCTTGGGCAGCGTTGTGGTCATGCCCGTGGATCTGCCGTTGCGCGATGTGCCAGCTGTTGCCGCCTGCTCCTCGTGTGTTTCCTCCTTGCTTTGATGGATTGTAGTTGGATTTTTAGTGCTTGTTGCTGTTGCTGTTGTTGTCGTCGTTGTCGTTGTTGCTGTTCCTGCTGCTGTTGTCGTTGTGTTAGCTTCTACAGCTGCCGCTGCTATGGTGGGCGCATCGCCCAGATCCGCCTGCAGCGCGTAGCCGGCAAGCATGACCAGCGCCTGATCAGCATGGTCGCGCGGCAGCTCACGCTGCAGCACATTGTGGCGCAGCTGCAGATAGTAATTGTGCCTGGACGTCTCGTCTTTCAGCATGAACGGGCTCTCGATGTAGAACTGCACGCGAAAGTGTAGCTCCAGGAGAGGACGTCCATTGGCATCCAGACCCTAGAAACAATACAGATACGCTTAAAGATGTGCTCAAGATTTCTTCGGTCCGTTCTACTTACGTGCGTGTGCGAGGAACGCCAGCTCTTCGGGCCGTATTTGGAGAGCTTGCTCTCCGGATCTGCAAACATGTACTCGCCATCTGCAAAAAAAAAAAGAGGAGATTTTCGTAAGCAATTTGTAATTTATTGTGATCTCGATGAATAAATTTCTTATCTCCACAGAAGCAAGAATCAGAAGATAAGTTTAAAAATTCTTGGATCTTGGCAAATCTTTTGCCTACATACTTCAAGTATGCATCTAATATGTTCGACTCATAGTATACTTTATTCCATAACGAATTCTAGATAATCTATACTAAAATCTTTACTAATCCGTGCATTCCTTCAGCTAGGAAATACATTTCCAAGGAGGCACACGTATATCTTGTTTAACCAGAAATCTGTCGAATTCATGCCAGCAATACATACTTGGGCCAAGTTAGAATGCAACATTTGTTAGTTTTGTCGGAAGTCCTGACGCCAAGGTCGCATTCATTCAGTTCGACTAATCGAAATTTTAAATGAACTTTCTGCGCTGCCAGCAGCACAAATTCTTTAGCTCGACGAAGAGCCAAAAGCCAAGAGCCAAGAGCCCCGCCAGCAAGTCCCTTGCTCGCAACTCTTGTCAGTTTTTTGTCAGCCAGCAAACAAGCGGCCCATTGACGTCAACTGGGCCGATGACGACACGTCCACGTCTACGTCCACGACCACGTCCATGTCAGGTTGTCAGCCTGTTGTCGTCCAGCGTATTCAGTGCGCACAAGTYCGAATTCGAGTTCGGGGACTCGACTCGACTCGGTAACTTGGCCCAAGGGCATGCCGCGTGCTCGAGAATCGATGTGCCTGCTGTGTTGCTGTTGCTGCTGCTCTTCTTGTTTTTATTGTTGTTGCTGTTGCTGTTGTCGAATGTCGGTTGCATGCTTGAAAAACAAAATCAACACACACTTCATCATCGAACGAAAAATTGGAATTCCTGCATACGAAATGAAGCAACAGCAACAGCAGCCGCATCAGCAGCAACAGCAGAAGATGAAAAATAATAATTATGAGCAGCAGCATAAAAAATATATGGGAGTGCTCGGCTCAATTATTACTGGCTAAGCGATACCCTGTATCAAAAGACTTTTCCTCTCTCAGATTAGGTATCAATAATGTTTATGTTTAAAAACTTTGCATTTCTGATTTGTATACAATATGTGTATATTACTATTATTAAATTGCATACAAATGGATTCATAAATTCATGAATAGGGCAGTTCTATGTAGTGCTAGAACTTGCACAGTATTCTAGGGTATGCATTGGGTATAAACAAGAATGAGCTAAAAAAAGATGGAATGGAAATATGTGGGCACACAAGCAACAGCAACAGCAGCAGCAGCCGCAGCAGCAGCAACAATATCATAATAATCATCAGCGTCCGAATAAGTGCCTATCAATGACGACAACGACGACGACGATGAGACCCCAACGGAGTCCAAGTCCAAGTCAAAGACGCAGACCAAGTTAAAGTCGCAGCGAGTCGCATACCGAAGAGACCCAAGCCCAAAACGCAGCTCGAAATGAAAAAAAGTAAAGAAGAAGAAAAAAACAGGTAGAAACGGGCTAAGCGAGACGAACGGACAGAGCGGACAGGTAAGAGCGCGGCGCAACGTTGCGTTGTGGCAGCTGAAACCCAAGTCAAAAAACAAAAAAAAATTAAATAAAAATAAAAATAAAAAATTAAATAAAATGAAAAAAAAAAAAGCAAGACCAACTCAAAGTCAAAGTCTTCAGCGATTTCTTTTCTTCACGAAACAAAAAAAAATCTGAGCCCAAACGCAAACGCAGCGCATTCAAATTTCACCTCAACAGTTGCAGATCAGGAGCTGATGGATGGCTGTGCTCTCGACTGCTGCTGCTGCTGTTTCTTCCTCTAAGCAGGTGTGAAGCCTTCAATGCTGGCCACAAAGCAGCCCATAGCACGCAACATGCAACGTGCAACGTGCAACCCGCTGTTGCAAGCCTGACGCTGGGCATTTTGGGCCAGCGGCAAAAAGCCTAATAATTAACATATTTTCCAACGCATTCCACAGCGCTTACAATTAACACGCACGCACACAATCTCACACACACACAAACACACGGTGAGTAGGGGTAAGCGGTGGATGGGGCAGGCTAAATAAATCTTCAATTTGAAACACATGCAACACAAATTACAGACTCGAATGCGTTGGGATTCCGGCAGCAACAGGCAGGCAACAGGCAACACTCATCAAGTGGCCTAAAGACTAACAGTGTGTGAGATAGAGACAGGGGGAGGCGGAGGGGAGTGAGTGAGCTAGAGAGATTCAGGAATTTTACAACAACAAGCTAAAACAGTTAGGTGCGGCCAAACGAATACTATATACCCTTGTGAATATATAGAGGCATAGACAGATCTGTTCTTATAAATGAGCATAAGGCATAGAGCATAAAATAGTATTATTAAATTAGATTAAATATTAAAAAATAAATAGTGGCAATATAAGATCAGATCTACTATGTTCTTCGACTGGTTCAATACAAAACTGTCTAAACTATTTAATAACTATTAAAGCATTTTAGAGAAGCACAAAGCTCAAATATCTATATATTATATAATAATATGGTAATCTATTATGGTAATCTCAGTCGATATAAGTCCATTTTATATACTGCAAAATGGATAAAAATCATAAATTTCAACAAATATTCAACTAATTGCTATAGTTATAAAGACTTCTGTTACATTATTCATTACAAAATCGGTATTCCGCCTGTGTAAGGGTATCTATAACAGCAAGAGTAGAATTCGAGCTCGACTCTTGGGCTGGACTGTGCCTGAGCTGAGCTGGGCTGAGCCGCAGAGACCGTTGTCCAGAGCAAAGAGACAGCTGCAGCAGCCGTCGCCGAAGCATTCTTCAGATTTATATGCCAAAGGTTTTGAGTAGGCACGCCATAGCCAGCCATAGCCATAATAACCCGAACCAGCAACAAAATAACCCAAAAAAAAAAAACAGTCTATGTGTGTGTGTGTGTGTGTATGGAAACAGGCTGAGAGGAAGACAATAACAACAACAGCAGTAACAACAAAAAGAGAACGAAACAACATAAAACCAAAAGAATTTTAATTTCCGATGTTATCAGATGCACGCAGCTTGGGTTGAGGCTGCGGCCAGGGCAGGCAGCATGTGGCTGCAAGGCCGGTCGTCACAGCAACAGCGGCAGCAGCACACTAAGGGGGCGTGACAGGGGCCGCAGAGCCCGCGAAGACGAAGATGAACAAGCCAACGCCATATAATAATGATTATGAGCCATTAACATTAAATGGAAAAGAAAATGCTGGTCTACAGATTACAGCAGCAGCAGCAGCAGCAACAACAGCAATAACAACATGCAGCATGCAAAGGAATGCGGCACTGGAATCCAAGCAATGCGACAGCTAAAAATAACACCAGCAGCAGCTACAACTGAAGGAGTTGCAGCAGCGTAGGAGCAACAGAATCCTCAGGAAGCAGCAACAGGTAAAAAACTAGACAAAAATAGAACAGCTGCATCAAGGAATATACGGTGAAGAAACATACAAAGCTACAGCAGAAATGACAGTAGGAAGAGCAGATACTAACAAATTCCAGACGTATGCAGCAGGTGGCAAAGCTAAGGGAAAACCAGAGATATTGGCAAGAGAAACTGAAACTAGATCAGGAGAAAAACAATGAAAGGGTGTTGATTACTCAAAGCAAAAGAAACTATTCCACATTTGGCCTTAAATGCAGCAGCAATACCAACAGCAACAGCTCAAGGAGCACGCTAAACAGCATTGGAAAGCAGCCGCAACAGCAGCAGGCGTAAAAGTGGAAGCTGCAGAAGGCCGAAAAAATAAAAAATAAACGCCCATTGTGTTGACCACTTAACAACAACAGCAGCAGCAGCAGCCAGACGCGGTCAGCAAGCAACTGTTGCTGCTGCAGCTGCAACTCTCTGTGACAATGTTGCCAAATTGCCAGCCAGAGCAGAGCACTGCGGATGGCTGGCTAGGAGACAAGCTGCACACACTTAAAGCTGAGCAGCGACAAAAATTTGCATAAAGATGAAATTTATTGACGGCTGCGTGGCCATAAAATTGAAATTCATTGGCGACAGCAGCAGCAACAGCAGCAGCAGCAGACACTGAATGGACAGCGCCTAAAAAGGGCCACAACAACAAAAGCAGAGGCAGCATCCGCGGCAACTGTTGCTGGCATGCAGCATCCGCTGTGTGTCCTCTAATACAAAAGACTTAAGCAACGAACCTGGCCAACAAATAGTGAGCCACATTTTTAGCGGTGTTTGAACATTTTGTGTGCAATGCAGTTTTGGCCAAAAGCTAAACTGGCAAATACTATCTATAAAACAACAACAGCAACAGAGTCAAGGCAGCAGCAACAGCAATAGCAACAACAACAGCAACAACTGCCACTAAAGGCAATTTTGGTGCAGTGAAAGAGCGCGGCGTGAAATGCTCGAAAGTATGCGATGGCAATGGACGCAGGCGCAGCAGCAACAACAACAACAGCCGCATGCCAGTCATGCACACACATACACACACACACAGAGTCAAAATGCTGACTGTGATATTGGCAAAAATCCTTGCGAGGTAACGCAAAATTCAAACATCCAATTTCATAGCTGAAGCTAAGGCTAAGGCCGAACTGAGGATTCTTTAGCTGCTGCTCTCCTCCTCTTCTCATTCTTATTGCCTGTGCACTCCTTTTTCCTCGCTGCAGCATCAGTCCATGTGGCAACGTCTGACGACGCGTTCGTTCTTGTTGTTGTTGCTGGCATGCCCCCAACTGCATACCAAATTCTTTTTCGCTGAAGATGTTGTGGCAAGTTCTTCGCCTTACCCCAAGCCGCTTGCACAGCCACTGCCTCACTGCCTCAGCCTCAGATTCAGCCTCAACCGCCTCCTTGAAAGTGATGCCCAACTGCTCGCGACCAGATACGAAATTTACGTCTTGTGCTCCTCGCATTCTTTTTCATTCTTTTTTCTTAACTTTTTTCGTATACCCTAACTGTTGCAAAGGAAAGGTTTGCCAATTGAATCTGTTTGCCACGCATTTGAAATAATTGCATATGGGATGAGAGGATGGAATCTGTATATGTTATAGATATCCTTATTAACTAACTTAATTGACTTCCAAATATTTTTATATATTGCATAGAGATTGAGCACAATTCATAAAAATATAGTAGTGCTGCACTATTAGAAGTTTCATTTATATAGAGTATATATAGATCAATATTTTATATATATCTTGAAATAAAATATTTCATAATGTAACTCTTCATCATTTATGTAATGTATTCATATTCTTGCTATTTCCAAAATTCTAGAGTTCTGTAAACGCATTCGCAGTTTAAGTTTTCTCCGACAAGATTCTGTGTGTGTGTGTGTGTTTATGGAGGACGCATATATGTATATACACACATATATATATTTATATATGTATACGTATATATGTATATCTGAGGCCATTGCCAAAGACGTCTCTTTGCTGCTGCCAAAGCCACTCGCCTACCAGCCAGGCTTGGATGTTGCTGCCTCTTGGCTGGCTGTTCCTGCGTTCCGTTGTTGTTGCTGCTGTTGTTATTGCAATTGTTGTTGCCTGAATTGCCCGTGTGTTGGCTCCGCTGGGGCCGCATCTTCTCCGTCGTCGTCGTCGATTCGTTTGTGTTAATGCAACGCGCGACGGCTACCTGAATTACTGAACACGCGTCTTGTGTCTTGTGTCTTCTGTTGGCCGTTGCCTGAAATTGTTTGTTCGCCATCGACGGCGACGCGTTCCTGGCTGCCCTGCTCCTCCTCCTGCCTCGTACCCCCTCCACCTTCTGCTTTGACCCCCCTTTACTCCTCCTCATCTTCTCGTTGTTATTTTTTGCAGCGTTTTTTGTTCGTTTTATGTGCCATTTTGCTGCTGCTGCTGTTATTGTTGTTGTTGCTTTTGCTGTTAGTATTTTTATGTGTTTCGGCATTGCTGTAGCAGCAAAAAAAAACGTAAAATAAAAGTAAACTATTTGAATGCTGAACGACTAGTTGATACTCTGTAAACCGTGTGTGTTTCAGTAAATATAACAAAGATATAGAAAATATTATCGATAGTTCGCTATCGATAAATGTTACCCTAGTCAGATGACCATCATCTGTTGCACGCTTGCACACTGGCTAATGGTACCCTTTTACTAACATTTCTACTGGGTATTGAGTTTGTGACCAAGCAAAGAGGCTGCCACTGCTACTGCTGTTGCTGCCTCTGCCGCCGCCGCTGCTGCTGCTGCGTCTGCTGATGATGATGAGCAGCTTTTAAAAAGACTGGTTTATGTTTATTAGTTGTATTTTTCATGCCTTATCGCATGCCATGACTATCCAGCAACAGCAACAGCAACAGCAGCAGCAGCAGCAGCTGCCCAGTTGCCCAGTTGCCAAGTGTTCGGCAGAGTTGAATGTTTTAGGGCGTTCCACAAACCCAATTCGTTATGCTGCATACGCATGTTGCATGCCAGCCACTCCCAGCACCTCCCCCATATCATATTACAGTCCACACTTGACTCACCTATGAGAACGGCCAGACCGAACAGCTCGGTGTCCTGCATGCCCTGCGTGGCAAAGTGCAGACATGTCTGTGTATAAACCTCTCGGACGCGACTCTTTGCATCGACTAGGAAGTAAAGGGTTTTCGGCTGTTGTTGGCCAAGAAGTCTGCACAGGAAACCAAAATGAAATATTTATATATAAATATATATATA